TTTACAGCAATAAAAGTGTTGATATCACATCTAGTGAATTAATGCAATAATCAAAATGTTTACTCAATCTTCCATGCATAAAGAAACAGGCAGAACTCTGAAGCTGTAGAACTTTTAGTTGAATGGTACCTGCTTCCATTACTGTTATCACTGTCACATCCTTGGCTGCTGCCTTCACTTTCTACTTCCGGTGCACTTGGCTTGAATATGAACAACCCATGACCCGTGCCGGGGCTACTAAACAACCAATCGTGTACATCCCAGAAAACTTGAACCGGTTGTTTATCTACTAACACAGTTTGGTTGCCTCTGAATTTCCATTGCAAATTCTTCACCTGAATCAACACAATCCCATCTATGCTAATCCACATTTCTGGATCTTTTGGCCCATTTGTTGAACTCTCAACTACAATGTCATGTTCCCTTTTCTTGTCATCAAATTTAGCTCTGGTTGCAAAACTTTTCTTGGCGAAAACGTTTTCTTTCTTGTAAAATTGTATGGCTTCAACTATAGCTGGTCTTGATTTTGTTCTCTTATAAGCCTTTTTCTTGTAATCTCCCAACAATAACACAACCTCTTCTTCCCAAACTAGAGCAACATAATAATCTGCATATGGTTCAGGCCCTCCTGAAAATTTAGCCGAACGAAGATCCCAATAAATCTCCACTAGGTTCCCTTCAACATCAATTGATTTATACCCTTTCTTGCTCCAAAAATGCCAAGGCTTAAGATCAATCTTGCAACTGTAATGATAATCACCTTCCAAGCTATTCACCATGATACTTAATGAATGATTCATAAGATTTCTACACCACAAAACTGTCACATTTCTCAAATAGCCTGCAATGTGTGTCTGGTAGCCACATGTGACCGTGCTCTGAGCTGTTTTATTTGTTACAGGATCTTCCGTTATTTTCTCTGCTAATGGCGGATTCGCCACAGAATATGCTCTCATAGGGTGAAAAGCCATTGGTATTCAATATACACACTCTTCTTATAATCTCTATAAACACAATACAATGCGATTGTATCTCTTATATAAACTATTTAAGCTTGTAACCCAAAAAAAAAAAAAAAAAAAAATGATATATATTTTGATCACATTCAACTTATTTGTTCATAAATATGCAGAATGTGCGTGCCAAGAGATGATTAGATTGTAGCATAATGAAAGTTACACAAATACCTTGCCGCGGATAGAGTCATAGATTTTTGAGATATTTGAGGTGTTGCCTGATGGTTGATAAATAAATTTATTAGTTTTGATGAAGTCTCCCTTGCTGTTGAACAGAAAGCAGACACAGACATATAATGGGAAAAGGAAGAATTCTCCAAAAAGGATAATTGCTGGAGATTAGTTTTTTTGGTGAAGAAACAGGAGAAGGAACAAACACGAATGTTTGTTACAGTATGGAGAAAAAATCTCCATTTAGAGGCTGAAAGAGAAAAGATGGCCGCTACAAACGGATTTCAACAAAATTGTCCTAAAATCTTTTTACTATATACAG